TCACCACATCGCCCAGAGTTAGCGATAACCCTAAGAAATGTGTCTGAGAGAGAGAGAGAGAGAGAGAGAGAGAGAGAGAGAGAGAGAGAGAGAGAGAGAGAGTGTCGAGCTCAGGGCTCCATGACACGGCGCAGGGTGCTTCACAACATGGCGTACACGCTAGAGGGGCAAAGTAAAACTGCGCGCGACATCGGCGAAAGTTGGCCTAGGCGCATCGCACGGACGCTTCGCGACAGCCTGGGGCATCCACAGCACTGTCGCGGACTGAAACGGCCTGTTGAAACAGTAAAAACGCGCGGCACTCTACGGCGCTAAGATGTGGGCCTTCGGTCCGGTAGCACCCAATTGCCTGGATCTCGGCGCGGTCTTAAGATCTTAAGACCGCGTGGAGATCCAGGCCGTTGGGTCCTACCGGACTGACGGCCCAGATCCTAGATTTGTTACATCGTTCCGCAGATCTGGGCCGTGGGCCGGTAGGACCGACGACGGCGCAGATCGGCAATTTGTTACATACTGGGATTAGCAATTTCTATAGTGTAGGGATAATCTACACTCTCAAAAAAGGGGGGATGATGTATCCTGCTCAGGTAATTCTCTGGTTTTCAGAGAAACAATGGCAGGGAGAGGGAGGAACTAGTATGTAACAGCAGGCATCTGGAGCCGGTTCCAGGGTGATGAGGTTCCCCCCTCTCCCCAATATCCTGCCCAGTCAATCCCCTGGATTCCAGGGCAATCAATGCTGGCACGAATCCTCCGCAATTTTGATTCGGATTTGCTCCGAATTCAGTTTGTATATGGGACGCTGGACCCGTTTTCCAGCAGGTGATGCTCCCCACCAATAGACGGAGCCTCTCCCCAGGTGGTAGTGGTGTCTGCCTTATCAGCACCACTAACACTGAAGACGGCGTTTAAAATTAAAAAAAAAAAAAAAAAAAAGGCTGCACCGGAAGGCCAGACTTGATTGCACAGAACAGAGGGAGAAAACATACGAACGGTGTGAGCTGACAATAACTTGTAGCGAAGCACATACCGAGCCGCAGTGAAACAGCATTCAACCACATCCAGAAGCAAACCCCTGCAGAATATAGAACACAAGACAATGGCATCCATGGAGGAAGCTAATTGAAGTCGAAAAGCTCGAGAGCGGCCTCAGTAGTCACTCCCCCTTCCCAAGTCCACACAACCAGGGAACTGGAGCATGACTTCCATATGTTTGGCAGCCCATCACTCGTGGTTAATAGGTAGTGTCATTTTCGGCAAAATTTTCACCAAAACTGCCAGATTTCCCTAGATGTTTGCTCTTTTCTTGCTGTTGTTTTTGTGTGTCTGATATGTATGTGCTTGTATGTCCGTTAGGGTATATCTGTATTCAGTTTCAATGTATTTGGACTAGTAACGAAAAAGTTGGCAAAAACACCAAATTCGGGAATTTTTTTGGTGAACTCTGAAATCTACTCCGAATAGGGTTTTATCCTGAGTACGGACGCCACCCGGCCGGGCCGGCCCGGGCAGGTCGCCCGGGCCAAAAAACAGCCCAGAATTTTTATTTTTATTTTTTTGAGGGCGGGGTCCTACTGTGCTCGGCGAGAGGACCCCGAATCTGCAATAAAAAATTGATTTTGGTTTTGGTTTTGGTTGTCTGGTGTGAGGGGGGGGGGTATGGGTGTTGGGGACTCTGCATGTATGTTGCCTGCTGTTTTGCTGCATGTGTGATACCGAGTATATACTACGTTGGGGTCTCACACGACCTCACGCGACCTGCGAATACGATGGAGAAGATGGCGGCAGCGGCAGGGCGGTATGGTGTGGTAGCGGTGTATGGCGACGGGCTGTGGCGGCGGTCCACAAGAAGAAGAAGAAGAAGAAGAAGAAGAAGAAGAA